GAAAATTCAACCTAAGAGAAGTTGGCTTAATGCAAGCTCAATTTAAAAAAATAACTGCAGTCAAATGGTCTCCCACTGAGATATACCTGCTAAATGAGAGGGCTTAGATTTTACTCTCAACCCAAGGGAGTATGAAAAGTTCCTCTCACTGATTTAGGCCTCCATTTCCCATCTGTAACATGAGGATAATGTTAATGTTTACCTCAGTAGGTGGCTGTGAGTCTTATTAATGACGACAAAAATGACAAAAGAAAGGATATGTAAAAAGTTGCCAACAGATCATAAAAATTATCACACACACACACACACACAAAGTACTATATTAAGGGAGTATATATTTTTTAAAGTATACATTTGTAAAGATAAGCTGAAATATATTTTAAAATAAAAGATGAGCAGATCAGAGATATCCTCAAGGACAAGATCTTTTTCTGTTTCTGTCTGCCATCCTCAGTATGAGCTTCAAAGTCTGGCTCCCCTTGGTATTAGGATGGCTGCGTATGGCAAGCAGGGCCATATGCTGTCCTATACACATCCAGAAGTAGGGGTTTGGGGAAAGTGGGGGGAAAGGGGAAGACAAGGAGAGAGAGAGAGTTGAAAAGGACTGCAAATAGAGCTATGAGGCAGGCAAGCTACCCTATGTAAGTAACGGTTTATCTCCAGTATTTGTTAAGCAAAAGTTAACTACCTGTCAGTAATCCCACAGAAGATATATCCGAAATGTGGGAGAAGGGAAGGTAGGACATTCAGGTAGAGTGACCAAATTATCATTCACATTGGGAAATGTGAAGGGTAAATGGGGGCAGAATAATGATTATGATGGGCAATGATTGTAAATCTGGACTGCCTCAAGCAAAAAAAAGGATGTACAGTCACCCATACAAGTCCTTCTTAGGATGTGAAAATTAAGACATGCAATGCAGAGCAACATTTTCAGAGTGTTTTAGTTAGCTTTTATGAAGACTAGATACAACATGCATTTTTTTCCTCTCATCGATGGACAAGTCATGGCTTTGGCAGCAAAAATTCAAGTTCAAAAGTCGAGTCAGATAATATAAATCTTTTTTTAATGTGTTTTATTAAAAACATTTTTTTAAATGTTTTTTTATTTCTGAGAGAGAGAGACACCAGGAACAGGGGAGGGTCAGAGAGAGAGTGGGAGACAGAGAATCTGAAACAGGCTCCAGGCTCTGAGCTAGCTATCAGCACAGTGCCTGACAAGGCCTGAAACCCACAAACCGTGAGATCATGACCTGAGCTAAAGTTGGCCGCTGAATCGACTGAGCCACCCAAGTGCCGCATGTTTAATTTATTTTTGAGAGAGAGAGAGAGAGAGAGAGAGAGAGACAGCATGAACAGGGGAGGCTCAGAGAAAGGGAGAGACAGAATCTGAAGCAGTCTCCAGGCTCTGAGCTAGCTGTTGGAACAAAGCCTGACAGATAATATAAATCTAAAGACCAACTTTGGACCTGTCTTTGATGTCCTTACACAAGACTGAAAAGCCGATAATGGAAAATAACAAAATTAAGTTAGACATATAGCAATATTGGGACACCTGGGTGGCTCAGTCGGTTAAGCATCCGACTTTGGCTCAGGTCATGATCTCGAGGTTCATGAGTTCAAGCCATGCAACTGGCTCTGTGCTGACAGCTCAGAGTCTGGAGCCTGCTTTGGATTCTGTGTCTCCCTCTCTCTCTACCCCTTCCCGCATTTGTATTCTCTGTCTCTCAAAAATAAACATTAAAAAAAAACTAGATAGAAATACAGCAATGTTGAAAAAAATTAAAACCTGGTTCAAATGCAATATTAAAAAATTGCAAAGCATATCCAGAATTAAAGGATAAAAATTAGCATAGTTGTAGATGATCCTTCTAAATAGGTAGTGGGGGGGAAATCAAATCTTGGTAAGTAAGAAACAAGTGTGTAAGAGTGCCAACAACTGACTCCATCTTTGGCCCTCCATCTTGTTCATACCACAATGACCTGCTTCCGCTATGTGTTCCAGGCCCCTTGGAGGTTAAGATATGCTCTTACTGGAATGAGGAAGGCTTGTTCTGATTTTCCCTAAAATGGTACACAGAGGGTGCCACTTCAGAGTGGCACTAGTAGAGATGACTGGTACAAAGATGGCACCACTTTAGAGAACTACACTTTCATTAGCACAATGTCCCCTCACTCTAGAAAAGCTGTGGGCTAAGCCCTGGACAGGAGCTGAGAATAGGTATGTCATGCCTGGTTCGGCTGTCTACCCAATTGCCACCATCAGTAAGTTTCCCTAAATAAAACTGTAAGTGGTATGCAGTGGGTTGCTTTGTTTTTCAGTCTCAAAGGGCCTTCTCAGTCTGGAGTATTCTTTACTGTGTGTCCTCCACCTGTTAACACAAGTATAATTTATATACAGTAGACAATAGAGGAAATAAAATGACAACAAACAAAAAATGCTAGGAATCAGGATGTTCTAATTGCTTAAGATAAATTTTTACCTTGTGCTGTCAGCTAGAAAGAGCTATAAGCTACCTAATTTCTTCTTAATTGACCTCAGGAAGTAATCCTACTTATTGTTCTCATTATTTGTTAAAAAGATGCAGGCTTGTGAGGCAAAGATTCCTTTAGTCCAGTTCCAGAGCACTACTGAATTCAAGGAAACACCTAGAAGGAATGCATACCCTATTGAAGCTATTCTAAAATACTTAAGGGCAGAGCAGAGGCAGAAATAGAAATATATCAAAAAGAAGAATATATTAAAAAATCTTTTATATAGCTATCCTTTTCATTTAATCATAAAATGGTAGGATCAAAAATCAAGGCCTTTTTTCTAGTATTTCATCCTGAGTAGCAGCCAAGAGAAGGTTTAACCTTTTTATTCTTAGATGTTCTAAATTTAAGACATCTTAAAATCTTCCACTTCTTTCAAAAATGTTTATTTGCTTCTGTGGAAAATGTGGCAGTACATGTGAGACCAGTACCAATAAACAATTATAAAATATTTAAAACAATTTCTTTTAAAATTATAGGATCTGAAACACATTTATCACAAGCATTTGCGACAACCTAGAGGTTATGCCAAACACCAGTAATATTTTAAAGTAAGTTCCAAAAGGATCAGTTTTTCTCACTTCTGTTTACTTTTATAAGCAAAGGGGAATTCTCTACCCCTAACTTCTTATTCAATAAATTCTAGTCACTTTTCATAAACCCCCAATTTCAATTTACAGTTCTGACATTTCTCCCGGTTGCTTGATTTTCATACATTTTCCATGAAGTTTAGGACATTAGGCTTTTGCTTATAAGGTCAACTGCAAATTCTCACTATGTCTTTCTTCTCCAGAGCAATGATTACAGAATGCACTAGTGATACACCTTGACCTACAATAGTAACAGATATCATGGTCATGGCATTACTCTCTTCTTAGTGCCTTCACTAACCTAATGCCAGTCATTTGGTCTTTGTGTTTTGGAAATGGGAGAACTACTAATCAATATTTCTGTTAGGCAAAAAAAAAAAAAAGAAAAGAAAAAAAAGTTGGCAGGTGCATGTAGGAATCTCTGTAGCTCAATTCCTACATCATAAAGTTGAAAACATGCAGTCTCAGAATGCAATGTTTTTAAAGTCTTCATTCCACATTGCCAAATTATGGCCTCAACAGTGGAAGTGGATCTCTACAAAAGTAGGAGAGATAGTTATTTGCTTCCTTAACTGGCAGACTCATCATGAATAGTAACACTCTTTACCAAGTATATAGGGGCCTCCATTCAATCCATCCATTCATTCAATCCATCCATTCATTCAATCCATCCATTCATTCAATCCATCCATTCATTCAATCCATCCATTCATTCAATCCTCCATTCATTATGCACAGGCATAATAAAAATATTCAACAGGCATTAGACCAGACCCTGAGAAGAGGCCATTGTACTACCTTTGTGAGGATTACAATCCAGTGATATACATAGGATATTATATAAGTAGTTACTTTATTATGATCTGTCTAAATGAAAAACAAAGGATGATTATATGAAAAGTACCCTAAGGAAGAGCCCAGAGCCTGCCGTGGGGCCTCGAACCACAAACCGTGAGATCATGAGTTGAGCCAAAGTCAGATGCTTAACCAGCTGAGCCACCCAGGTTCCCCTACAAGTTACAGGGGAAAAGTTTTATGTTTTAGTATTAACTGCACATTTTTTCCCCCGTATTGAACCAGATGCCCATATTTTCATCTTGCAGGTCTCTGCAATTTAGTTTACCAGCTCGGACTCCTGAGCTATGAAGAAAATGAATTAGACGAATGTAAGATGTTGCATCTTTCCATTAGAAAGTTAGAATCTTTATTTTACCGAACTTGGACCTCTTCCTTCCAGAGCATATGTATGCTAAAAAGAACTTTAGACAGGACTCTTCTAGTTCTAAAACACTAGATTACATATGCACCCACATTTCAGTTGGTATGGTCATTTATTTGCATAATAATTCTCAATTATTCTCAAAATAATTTTCAAACATTTCAATAACTCCTATTTCTTTTTCTTTTTTTTTTTTTTGGAAAAGGTAGACTTTTAATAACTGCTTTTATCACCAGGTTAAGTCATGCAGTTACAAAGTAGTTAGAAATTTCTGAAAGGATATTGTTTTTTTTTTAAAAAAGCTCATTCTTACATAAATAATGTCTAGAACTTCATTGGGACACTACTGTTCAAAAGGCCCTGGTGAAATAACTCCCAAACAAAACACTCAACCCAAGGTCATTTTCAGCCCACTGGTAATGAAGCTGTGTGCAGAATACAGGCCTCTACAAGAGGACACAAAGTCAGGGCGAGTCAGGGCCATTGGCACGGCTCAGAGCCGCCAGCTAGACTCCAAAGTGGGAGCCCAAGTGGTTTTTTTCTTGGACGCTCTACTTGAATTATTGTTCAATTAGACAACACAGTAGATCTTCAACAGAGAACAATTAATTAACATGGTAAGGAGGTTACTGCACTCTTTGGACTCTATGTCATACTGTGGTTAGTGAATTCTGACAGTCTTAACAAAAATAGCCTCCATCATTTGCAGTTATGAAGATAACTTAATTCTCCATCGGGCTTTTTATTTTTGCTGGACAATACATGATTGATAAGCTATAAATGATACTGTTTTATATTATAAAAATACTTAGCTTTTTCATTTATTATGTTTATAGGCATTCACTGCTTGAGTCAAGGTTAGGCTTGTTAAGTGATTAAAGGCAATTTTATTACAGCAGCATGTACTTATTTTATTCTAAGAGAATAAAATGCATAAAGAGAAATAGCTTTCATTTTTGTCGCAATTTGTAAAATTGAGTTAGTTTGCTGATGTAAAAATACCAGTAACACACTTGAGGACCATGCCACCTTCTGAAAATGCCACACAGCTGCTGCTTAGACGTGTCCAAGTTACAGCACGTCTCAGACTTGTCCAGAGCTGAAGTGGGAAGTGACTGACTGCTCTTGGACGACACAGCTGTACTGGGAAGTGGCCGTGGAGCAAGGTGGTGCAACTGGATGCAAAGGACTTTTCATTTAAAGGCAAAATACCCAAATGGCTCTCTGGCTTAGGTAATTTCTATGTTCGTATTCTTATTCATATTCTTTAGCTTGTACATGATCCCCTAACCTTAATTTCTTTTTCCTCAAAGGGGCTGATTTGGACTGACTTGTTGAGAATGATGTCCATTATCTATTAAGTAGAGAGAGAGAGAGAGAGAGACAGAGAGAGAGATATTCCTGTGGTTACATGTAAACTTGTGAAGGGTCTGCAGATGAAGAGGGAAGAGGGCAGTGAAGAGGTCAGCCACACTCATCTAGGTGAAGGTCACACCGGCTTCATTGTACACCTTGAAGACTTTCTCAATGGCGTTGACATAGGCAGCCGTTCTCAGGTCTAAACCCAGGTTATACTTCATGGCCGTGCGCATGATTTGCCTGGCGGAATGCTCCATAGTGTAAGCTAAGCCAGAGCACACGATGTCTTTCTCTGATGCCCCCGATATCCTGTCTTGGAACTCCGCCGTGGGCACAATGGGAATAGTTCCACCGTGCTTCCCAAATTTTCTTTCCAAACTCTTGAACAGACATGAGCAAGTGGTAGTTAGAATCCCTTTCATATTTGAAGGTCAAACGGCCATAGCTGACATGATTTAGATTCTTCAGCCACTCAAAGTAGGATACCGGGACTCCTCCAGCGTTCAGGTAGAGATCTGGAATCACCATAATGTTCCTCTCCAGGAAGATCTTATCGGCCTCTGGAGTTGTCGGCCAATGGCACCCTCAGCAATGATCTTGGCTTTGACTCTGGGTGCATTGGACTTGGTCAGCTGCTTCTCGCTGGCAGCAGGGATCAGTATGTCACAGTCAGCCTCCAAGATGCTCCCCTCATAGGGCTTTGCCTTGGGGAAGCCCAGAATTGATCCATGTTGCAATTTGAAGTCCTCCAGTTCTTTTGGGTCAATACCATCTGGATTCCATATACTCCCATCAGATTCACCAACACCAACACATTTAGCACCAAAACGATGTAAATATCTCATAGAGTGCAGGCCCACATTCCCAAATCCCTGAACAACAAAAGTTTTGTCTCCAAACCCTGGTGTCATTCCTAAAATAATCATGTAAGATGCTTCATTGATGAAGTTTTCAATTCCATGGAAAACTCCCCGGCCAGTAGCGGATAACTCCTATTTCTTATAAAGTATGTTACATGTTAGGGTACCTGGGTGGCTTAGTCGGTTGAGCTCTGACTTTGGCTCAGGTCATGATCTCACAGCTTGTGAGTTCAAGCCCCACGTTGGACTCTGTGCTGACAGCTCATAGCCTGGAGCCTGCTTCAGATTCTGTCTCCATCTCTTTCTCTCTGCCCTTCCCCTGCTCATGCACGCACACTCTCTCTCTCTCTCTCAAATATAAATAAAAATTCAAAATTTTTAAATAAGTAACATGTTACTCAAATTGGGTATATCTGAATTTTAAGATTAAGAAGAGAAAGCAGATTTTCAAGAGATTATGGAGACATTTCATAATATGGAAATAAATACCACATATCTACAATCCACGTGAAAGTTTAATAAAACATATGAAGGGGCCAGAGCAGTGGGTGAAATATAAAACATGATAGTGGTTTAGTTCATGACTATATTTGCAAGAATTTCAATAATGTTTCAAGGTGAATATTTGAATACGAGATTTGGCAGATATCTTTCTATGAATCTCATCACTTTGCAGAATAAAAAGATAAAGATGTTTCTAGGACTTAGAAGCCAGGTAGTTTGGTGTTTCTTATAAATTAATGTTTGATATCTTTTATAGATTGCTTTTGAATCCTTAAAGTAAAATAAAAACACAAACATGCATTTGCTTTACTTCAAATCACCTCGAAATTTATACATATTCAGAATTACTTTATAGAATGTCTTTTCCCCTTTCAACCAGCATGTTTCCCTCTCAACAAGCAGGTTTCTAAATAATAATTGCTTCCTAGATTTTGGACCACAAAGAAAGACAAAACATATATAGGATGTTTTGTCATTTATGTTCACAGAAAACATCCTTTTTCTATTCTTATTTCACAAGTTAAACTATGGTCTCTATTTTCTCTTCAGAGCAGAAGGTAGAATGACTATCTTGTGATTGAAATTTAAAGAAAAGAATGTTAATGATAAGCTATGTAGAAAAAAAAATCAGGAGACAAATATGTCAGAAGGAAAGGTAATAATAAAAAATGTATATCAGGATTTCTAATTATTTTTGCTTATTCAACAATTATTCAGTGCCTCCATTGATTTTCTTTGGAAAAGGCACTTATGAAATAAGCACAAATAAAATATCAATCTTACCCTCAAGACTTCCTGCCTGGTCAGAAGATTGTGTGACAGGTCTTTGTAGCACATTTTGAACAGTAGAACATCTCACGCAGAGCACAAATCTCTCAGTCAATCCATCCCCCAAACATTTCTCCATAGGAGAGGCGAAAAGTCAGTATGATATCAAAGGAATTTACAATTCAGAATTAAGTAAAATGCATTTCCTTCAAACTAGAGTCCTCTAAAGTACCAAAATATAAAAAGTATGATCCTTACTTAAAAAGGCTTTACAAATATAAATATCAAAATTTCAAATGGAAACATCAAAAAATCAGTCTCTTTTTCCTGACTCACTAGAGTAACTAGCCCTCTCCATGCATGCTCTGAGACATACTGATGTGCCTGCAGGCTTTGAAAAGACACATGGAAGTGGTCCACAGGCCTATCCACAAATTCTGCTGCCTCTAGTTGACATAACTGTGATCAAGAGATTGTTGTGTGTGTTCCCCAAACTTATATTACATGAACTTGTTATTCTAATTACATCATGTAATCAAATACTACTTAAGCTGAAAAGAAAAATGTGTTATTTCTATGGTAACTGAAATGAATATTTTGGAAAGGTTTAATAAAAAAAAGAGCTCATGTAAAAATTGCTTTCTAATTAGGTGTGGATGATGTGGGGGTGAGTAAAAATTTGAAAAAACTAAAATGTTTAAATATAATTCCATGTGCTTCAAAGAGGACACACAAATTTGTAAAGCGTCCCATTAAAAATGTACTTCTGTGTGCAAGTTGTTTTTATATCATGTTTTAAGTTCCTGGGTCCACTGTAAAGAAATCAAAGAAGACTGCATAGTGGGGTATAGCTTACATGCTAAAGATGACAATTTTTTTATGACAAGGATGACAGACCCCTATTAAAACAAAACAAACAAACTTTCACCTTTAAGAAACACTTTATAAATGTAATGGCACTTTTATATTTTAACATTAACAAGTTTGATCATGAATCCCTTTCCCCCTATTTTATTCTTTTCTAGATTAACTGATCATTTTTCATTCTAACAGCATCAGAGAAGAGTATATTTTAATAGAAATGATTTAGTTCTAGACTCCTATACAAAGAGATGGAATATTGAAAACCACACTACATTTTAAAAGACTGTCTTGAGGCACCTGGTTTGCTCAGTCAGGTTAGTGATCAGCTCTTGGCTTTGGCTCAGGTCATGATCTCACAGTTTGTGAGTTCAAGCCCCAGGTCAGGCTCTGCACGGCTGCTCGGAGCCTTCTTGGGATTCCCTTCCTCTGCCCTATCCTGCTCACACGGTCTCTGCCTCTCTCAAATCAATAAAATTAAAAAAAAAAAGTTGTCTTTCTAAAATACACATATCATTAAACTCTTAAGGTAATTTTAAAGCACAGATAAAACTGGGTGCCTATTCTTCGCACAAGGCAGGAAGATGTGGATCTTAAAACATTGAAGAAAACTTAAAATACTTTTCAAAAGAGGTTTCTACATTGTTATTGTAGACAAGAATGGATAGAAATGGGAAGGGTAAGTTGGGAAAATGGAGGAGGAGGATTTCTAAGCTCACATTGACCCACAGATGCATCAAAATAACAGCTACATCTATGCAGCTAACTTTGTGACCTAAAGAGTGGTAACACAGACCTTCCACAATTAATCTTAGAAAGTAGGCCACATTGAAAAGGGTAGGAGGGGCAGAGAAATGGTTGCAAACCAAACTCCCAGTGAGACTAGCCACGAACAGGAGGGACATCATAAGCATGGAAGTAAGAGAATCAGATGCCACATCGGGCACCCCTGGGACTGAGGACCTGTCCTGGAAAGATGAGGCCCCATAAGATCTAGCTTTCAAAGCCAATAATGTTTAGCTCCAGGAGAGCTAGAGGGCAATAAGAAATGGAGTCCCTGCTCTTAAAGAGCCAGAACGATAAGTAATTCAGCTCCAGACACAACATAATAAGTAACTCACCCTTACACACAACACAGGAATACACTTCTCTGGTGTATGCGTGGAGGTGGTTTATTGGCGAACCTTAGAATGTGTGTTAGAGGCAAATGTCTCCTGGAACAGAAATGCTGGGGGGGAAGTGTGCATTTCTTTCCCTCCCCTAGCATAGATAGCTGTACACTTGTGAGTGCCAGAACTACCACTCTTCATCTGTCATCCTGTGTTGACAGCACCACATACCCCACCCAACATTCCCCTATGAAGCTGACCTGACCTGCCTAAACTGCCTGCCTGGTCAGGCAGCTCTCCGAAGCAGCTCCTGCCCTGCCACAATGTGCAGGCAGCCCTGGCAGGGACCAGTGCCATTCCAAAGTGACTCCTGTTCTGGGGGTCAGGGGATAACCCCTCACATCAGGGTACCTGCAGTTCTAGTAGCCTAGCCTCTTGGTTGGCCACACAGGAAGCTGTGCCCTCTGGCACCCACAACTATGGCAGAGAGGTTAACTGCAGGCAGCTAGGCTGACTTCTTACCCCGTCCATCAACAAGCCAAAAGGTGTCCTCAAACAGGTCTCTCAACAGCTGAGGGATCAAACTCAGCTCACTGTGCCCACAGCAGGCAAAGGAGTTATCAAAGCCAGCTAGGCTGAAGTCAATTACAACTTAGCCAGAACAGTAAGTAACATGCGACACACATAGGAGATATCGCTGGAGTATCTGGTTCTGGTGACCAAGTGACACTGTGCTAAAGGGCACCAAAGGACCATTTCCATACAAGACCACTACTTTCAAGACCAGGAGACATGGCCGCTGTACCTAAATACATAGAAACAGACAAAATGAGGAGCCAGAGGAATAGGTCTGCAGTGAAAGAACTAGACAAACATCTGGACTAAATGAAACAGAGATAAACAATATACTTGATCAAGAATTTAAGAGTAATGGTCCTAGGGGTGCCTGGGTGGCTCAGTCAGCTGAGCATCCAGCTTCAGCTCAGGTCCTGATCTCACATATCGTGTTCGAGCCCCGCATTGGGCTCTGTGCTGATAGCTAGCTCACAGCCTGGAGCCTGCTTCTGATTCTGTGTCTCCCTCTCTCTGACCCTCCCCTGCTCATGCTGCCTCTCTTTCTCTCAGAAATAAAGCATTTTTTAAAAAAAGAATAGTACTAAAGATACACACTGGACTTGAGAAAAGGGTAAATAAACTCAGTGAGGACTTCCAAAAAAAATGATATATATAAAAGAACCAGTTAAAGAGGAAGTATTCAGTAATTCAGTAACTGAAATAAAAATATACTAGAGGGAAAGAGGGAATCAACAGAAGCTTAGAGGACTCAAAAGAATGGTCAGCAATCTAGAAGGCAAGGTAATGGAAAATAACCAAGCTGAACAAAAATCTGATAAAAATAAATGAGAATGGATTTAGGGAATTCAGGGACATCATCAAGCATAATGACACTTTTGTTATAGGGATCCCAGAGGAGGAGAGAGAGCGAGCGGGGGCGGGGGGGGAGGGGGGACGCAGCAGAAAGCTTAAATAGCTGACAACTTTCCTAACCAGAGGAAGATAACATATCCAGGACAGGAAGCACAGAAAACCCCTAACAAGATGAACACAAGGAGGTCCACACTAAGACATGTAATAATTCCAATGGGAAAAAGTCATGACAAAGAGAATATTCAAAGCATAAGAGAAAAGAACAGTTACACACAAGAGAAATCCCAAAAGGCAGTCAGTGGATTTTTCAGTAGAAACTTTGCAGGCCAGGAGGGAGTGCTGAAAGGAAAAACAAAAAACAAAAAACATACAAGAAAGAATACTCTATTAGAAAGGTTATTCAGAATAGGAAAATAGAGTTCCCCAGAGAAACAAAAGTTAAAGGAATTTATTATCACTAAA